TAAAAATGTATATAATACTCGTGCATACACTCGCACAGGTACATAATGCTCAGGAAATTATGTCAGTGAGTCGTTGGCCCTCATTCAAAATGTCGTAAAAGCTGCTCTTTTCCGAATACTTCCTTATAATAAATCTTTTTTTTTGTATTTTTATTTTATTTTATTATTATTATTATATAGAATTTTGTTATGTATATATAATGTTTCTAATAAAATACTTCTGTACACTAAAGATGTTATCTTGTCGGTTCTGAAAACCACGAAAACTCTTTGAAAACTTTCAGTAGCAGCCTAACCTTCAATAAAAATTTAAATGTTGTGTTCATGATAAATAAATAATAGTAATAACAAAAAGACCTAAAATATTATACGCCAACTTCCAAACGTAATTTATATGCTGCTCATGCATTTGATGATGACGAGATAACTTACTTTCGAATTATAATTTAAATAAACTTATTGTTGATCAGATTTCTTATCAAAAAAATAACAACTGTTGTGCAGACGAAATATATAATACCTCAATATTATATTTCAGTATACATTTACAAAATTACGAAACACAAAATTATAATATAATTTAATGATTTTCCATTTATATTATTCTCTCAAAGTGTTTTAAAATATTATACTTAAGAACCTGAAAGTTGGGTTATACTGTTATACATAAATCTCATGAATTCGATTATGGTTAAAAAGGAAAACAGCTATTTATAAATACTACTCGACAAAGATAAAAGGTGATAAAGATTTGAACTAAAGTCCTAACTTCCGGAAGTAATTCTATTACTTCCTTGTCCGTTAAATGGTTCTTAAAGCACTCCGTTTGTCCTGGAGATTTTTTTTTGTCAAAAACAACCATTAGGTCTTTAATCGATTGGATTTTTAACTGTATATTTTATACTTTAAGGTAAATAGTACATTTTTGTTTACATTCGTTGGCAAAAAATTAACTGGAKGATTATAAAATATATGTAAAAAAATGGAAGTTGCTCTGTTGTATAGGGGATGTTAAGTTTACCTATTCATGTAATTGATTAATGATAATAAAGTAATATTACTKTAACGGATATTGTGTTAAATTTTAATTAAATAATAAATCATTGCATCCGAAAAACGATTCTGAACAGATATTTTCTATCCACCTATTATATTACCACATTTTTTGTATTATTATATGTTGATAATTGATATTGCTATGATTAATTTCATTTTATATTGATAACAGGTTAAAATAATTTTTACCACAAATAAATCGTATGATATGTGAATTTTATGTATTATTATTGTATTATATGGTAATTGTTTTAATATGATTTCGTATAATATTACTAGCCATTATAACTTTGTATAAGTCAATACCCATGTACCGTAAAATGGTGTAAATAGGTCCATAGTATAAATGGCTAATAACTAATTTATAATATATTTTGACAGTGTATTGTGTAAAGTTAACAGTAATATACAAAGTATAAAAAAAAATTAAAATCGTTTTTTCGCGTTTAAAATTAAAATATTATAAAATTTCATCAACATTTTGAAGTTGAGATTTTTATAAAACAAATTGGGCAGTTTTAATTTTAAGATTTTTAAGATTCATTATGAGCGGCTCTTGAGAAATATTGAATTAAGCTTTTAAACCTTAGGTATTAAAATTTAAATACAAATATAAAATAATCGGGTGAATATTTTTTGTGATTTTGAGAAATTAGAAAAACAAGTTAATATGCAAAATTTAGAACATGTATTTTATTACATATGCAAGCTTTAGGCAAACGGAAAATGGTTAGTAACACACAACAAATTTAAAATATCTATAAA